GCACCATCATGCCCAGCTAATTTTTTGTAGTTTTAGTAGAGACGGGGTTTCACCGTGTTGACCAGGATGGTCTCGATCTCTTGACCTCGTGATCCACCCGCCTCGGCCTCCCAAAGTGCAGGGATTACAGGCGTGAGCCACCGTGCCCGGCCTAACTTTTCAATTGAATTTTTTATTTCTGCTTTCACGTTTTTAATATCCAATTAACTCCTTATTTTGGGAATGTTTCTTTTTTATAGTATTCCAGTCAGTCAGGTTTCACTTTAAAAAAAAAAAAAGAGCCGGGCCTGGTGGCTCACGCCTGTAATCTCAGTACTTAGGGAGGCTGAGGCAGGCAGATCACAAAGTCAGGAGTTCAAGACCAGCCAGACCAACATAGTGAAACCCTGTCTCTACTAAAAATACAAAAATTGCTTGAACCTGGGAGGCGGAGGTTGCAGTGAGCCAAGATGGTGCCATTGCACTCCAGCTTGGGCGACAAAAGTGAAACTCCGTCTCAAAAAAAAAAAAAAAAACAGAAACAACTAGATATTTCTAGCAAAGAGGGATTTGGTGGAAGGGGTCTGTAGCAATGCCAGAAAGGCTGATGAGTCAAAGAGAAGAGGATGCCCAAAGATCAGGAAGCTGCCAGTGCCCACCGCCATTGCTGCCCTACTGGAAGCACAGCCTGGCCACCATTGCACCGAACTGTACCACCGCCACCGAGCGACATCAGGATCCCCCACTTGGATCATTGCATCATGCCCAGCTCTGCAGTGTCATTTTGATGTGTCTTAATATGGATTTCTTTCTTTCTTTTTTTTTTTTTTTTTTTTGAGTCGGAGCCTTGCTCTGTCACCCAGGCTGGTGTGCAGTGGCACGATCTCCAGCTTTTTCAGTTTTCTTTGATAGGAGAGTGGTCCAAATGACCTTTTCTACCATTATTGGAAGCTGAAGCTTGATGTGTCTCTTGATTTTCTCATACTCATCATTCCTTTAGTATGTACTTATTGCCATTAAAATAAAACAAAACTAAATGTATTCAACATCAAACATAACACATGTTGTCATATGTAACAATCAAGACTCTCAGTTGCAAGTTTGGGGACTCCCAACACAATACTGACTGAAGAGGAGAAGGTTCAACTAACTGAAAAGCCCAGAGATGTTTCTGGTTCCCCCACTGTCAGATCAAAGGGCTCTAACAAAGTCATGAGATTTGGTCTCTCTCTTCACCCTTCACTGCTCCTGTTAGTGTCACTTTTAGGCAGGCCTCCAGAACCTGTGAATTTGGTGGGTCACATGGCAAAGAGGAATTAAGGGTGCTAATCAACTGACATTAAATTAGGGACATTTTAGAAGAAAAAAAGGACAAAGCAAAAAATGGGGAGAGTAGCTTGGATTTTTGGCTGGGCCCAATGTAATCACAAGTGCCATTAAAAATGGAAGAGGGAGAGAGAAGAGTCTGGGGGAGGCAACATTGCCGACGCTGAAGACGGAGGGAGAGATCACAGACTGACCAATCTAGGTGGCCTCTAGCAGTGAAGATGCAAGGAANGATAGGAGCGGGAGAATAGTCTGGGGGAGGCAACATTGCCGACGCTGAAGACGGAGGGAGAGATCACAGACTGACCAATCTAGGTGGCCTCTAGCAGTGAAGATGCAAGGAAGCGGATTTTCTTCTAGAGCCTCCAGAAAGGGGAGAACAGGCCTGCCAACACCTTAATTTTTAGCCTAGCCAAACTTGTGTCAGACTTCTAAACTACAGAACTGTAAGAATAAATTTGTGTTTTATCTAAGCCACTAAGTTGTTGCTAATGTGTGTTACAGCAGTAATAGGAAACTAACACAAGTGGTTTCCCAAGGAAATTTGAGGTTTTTTAACAGGTAAGAGAATGTAGATAGGGCAGACAAAAATACCAGATGTCTACTATACCACATGTGGTGTTATGATAGACATTGGCTTTTGTCCACAGTTCTAGGCTCATAACTCCCATAGCCCTTGTTAGTCTTTTGTTGTAATATTGGGTGTGTGTTAGGCCTCAGGAAATAGAATCTCTCCTCCTCCTGCCCCAAGGCAGGACTCTAATCTTTCCCAGGCTTTGAGATTGTGGGTCTTAAGATCCTCCCCAGAGAGGTTCCCCCTATACCCTGGGGGAAGGAATGCTGAGGTCCTGAAGCTTCCGTAAAAACC